GTCACCTTCCCAATTCAAGTAGGTAATTGCCAAATTATTTTCTAGTAACTCCAATCGTTTGTCATCGGACAAATTAGAGTTCAAGTTTTTTCCTCGTTCGGCGAAAACTGTTTGAACCTAAAGCTGTATTTAGAAGGTTGGTTGACGTTATTTCCATAGAACCTTAGGTACGTAACTTTGCTTAACATTGGAAACAAATATTCTTATACAAATACGCGGAATCGATTTCTACGTATTTTATAATATAACACATCATAGAACCACTGTACTCATGGTGCCGAGTGCCCGCTCTGGTGGATAACATCAAATTGTTTTACTAATGACTAGGCTATACGAAATTAAAAACTTTTAAAATTTAGATGCTTTTTTAAATTTAGATGAATGTTATTATAATAACATTCATCTAAATTTAAATAAAACACTTTACGGGTCAAAACGCGATATATTTTAGTTAAACTTGTTAGAAAATTATTTTTAACTACGGCCAGACGTTTCGGATGCTTTGCAGCAGCCGTGGTCACGGAGAGACGAAGGGCCGTAGTTAAAAAATAATTGTCTAACAAGTTTAACTAAAATATATCGCGTTAAATACTGTCTATAGTTTACGCGAGTAGTACACATTTAAATAAAAACACTTTAACGGTTTAAAACGCGATCATTCATCTTTTTTATAATGCTCCTTATCATTTTTATTTATTTCCTTCGTATCTGACCATACTGCGTAATATAATATAAGATATTGGGTGTTGCATAATACTACATTAACCTACCTACATACTTTGATCATGAGATAATATCTAATTGCTGTAAGCTATTGTAACAACGAAATTATAATTTATAATAATTTTCAATGAAACGAAGAAAATGTTGGATTTTTCCAGTGATGGAAGAATATTTTGCGATTTTATCGCACGTTATTGAGATAATTGGAAAATTCTATTGTTATATTTTATTTCAAGGGCAAAAAGTGGAGGCCAATATTATTCTTGCTAATAAACACGAGTTATAATCGACGTATACCCTATTCCATATAATCTTAAACATCAAACATTATTATGCAAGAATGATTTTCTAACCATAATATCTTCTAACATGTTTGATAAAAATATTCATAATTTAAAAATCGAAAATAAATTGCTAATCGAAAAACCTAAAATAAATTGCTCCACCAATTGAGCTACCGAGTCCTCGGTAGCTCGATTGTTGGAGCAACAGCACGGAACGCTGACGATGCCGGTTCAAGTCCTGCCCGAGTCGAAAATTTTTTCAATTTATGTTAGATTTTTAAATTATATAGTGCCTTCATGTGCTTCAATAACATGTGGAAAATAACCGATAAAGTTTTTTATTTTATTGTGTACTACTCGCCTAAACTGGAGACAGTATTCTCTAAGTCTAGTTAGTTTTTTTTCTATTTCTTTTCCCTTGTGATTTAAGTTGCCTGGCTTAGCGATACGGCCGCCATTTATTTTATAAATTCGTACGTTACATTTTTCTTCCTATATATTTTATGTGGTATGTGTTTTAAATAATTAAACTACAATAAATAATTAAAAAAGAAAATTGTAACAACAACCGTTTCATCTTACTCAATTAAAACGAAACGTAAAGCTCGTTGCAAGTAAAACGGAGTGGGAAAGTATTTTCTAAGTGTGAAATTTCTTAGCTGTAATTAATGTCCAATATTGGAATGCTGTTGCATTTGGCTAATGAATGCTTATTTTCCTGTCGCTGGGCCACCCCAAAGTTCCGCTAAACAGAAAGTTGTTCTTCGAACCGCTCCAAGAGCTCGTTATCACATCTCGGAGGTCGTTCGGTGACGTCGCGCGCGTCACGAACGTTACGCATTGTGTGCTGTGCACAACGCGAGACACTTGTTCCGTATACCTCATGCTACCATTATCATTCAAACTTGACATCATTGTCATCACCTTGAACAGACCAAACCTCGAAAGCGTTTGACCGTATTTCTTCCCCACACTTCAACATATTTCGACTTGCATAACTCGTTTTGACATTTCGAAATATTTTAATTACGACTGCAAAAAACCATAATTAGCGATACGTAGATATCTGCTTCCTATTTTAATCGGGTCAAGCTTTAGAGATCACTTCGATAAAAGTTTGAGCTCTCGTGCGCATGAGCATGAGTTTGTAGATGGTATTAAAAATAATTACCTAACTATATGACATCTGACTCCAAAGTTACAGCATCGAAAAACTCGTATTCGTCTATTATGAATAAATTGTAGCGTGTAATTAGATAAGAGATTAACGAGAAGTGGTTTTGTGGAGAAATTTTACCTTTAATTGATCAACTTGTTTAAAAACATTAATTAAAAACACAATAAAATATTTTTTCAATGCAAAACATTTGCAATGTCGGGTCGTAGTCAAATATTACTTTAATATATTTCGCATTTTAAAACCTTGGCAGGCACGCATGGGGTTTGGATATTCGGAAATCCCCAGACTGAAAACGCGATTAAACTTGACGTTTTTTATTGGTAGACAAGTGGTTCGTGACCCGGACGTAATTTCTATATTACCCCCGTTTGATATACAGTATTCATCGTAATAAAGTTCATCATATTTCAGAGAACTTATATGTTGATTAAAAACATTTTGTACCAGGTGGGGCAGGAATCCACGACCCGATCATTATTAAACGCGCCGCTTAATGGGTTATAGCAGTAGCACGGAATACGTTACGTACGAAAACTTCATTATTTTTTACATGTGCACATGAAGGCACTACATAATTTAAAAATCGAAAATAAATTGATTTATTTTCGATTTTTATATAGCACTGAATACTATGAATGCAGTCCCGTCTGTGTAAATAGATTTTTTATTTCGCTTGTTTAACCCTTAAAAGCGGTTTATTTAAACGTAGTTAGGATATTTGAAAACTAATATTTTCACATGATTTTCATTTTGGCACTATACAAGTTAAAAAACGAATATACTGTATAAATTGAAAAAAAAAAAATTACAAGTCCTGTCCGAGTCGTAATTTTTTTCAATTTATAATTGATTTTTAATTTATGTAGTTAGGATAATTAGTATCCGATTTGTTTGTGCTAGATACCAGTTGTGCATCCCAAGTTCGCCCGGCGCCACTTCTAACTGTTGAGTGGCATTCGTGCATAAGTTACGTGCATTAACTAGCTCCCATTAAGCATTGGACTCATGTCTTCCTAATTGCACGCGAAATGATAACATTTTATTGGAGTTTGCTCTGCTATTTTGTATAAGAAACAGTAATATATTGTCCGAGTTTTGGCTGTAGACGGAAAATAAATAGTGCACACTCAAAGACAATAATGTACATTAATATGAAATTTAATTCGTTCACGCTTGTCCAGACTTCTGTAAAAAAAGTTTTATTTTTTGAATTCGTAATTTAACACCATCTGTAGTTTTTTGAAAATTATATTAACTCCGGCCCGATGACTTTTAAATAAGTTTAACTAATATATATCGCGTTTTAAGCGGTTAGAGTATTTTATTCAAATCCGCAATTTAGTTTCACATAGTATTTTCTATTAAATGAGAATTGGAAAACAGCATACGAAAGTCTTATAAAGACTAACCAATAATCGCTAACTGCATTTTGTATGCTTGTTTATTGCTAAAGTTATTAAAACGCTAATAACGGACTAAGCTTAAAGAGTGTTAAATGAAGACGTACATAAGTTTATGGAATAACGCCTCCACTTCGCGGCATGATGGACTGCACTGACACCAATAGGGCCAACACAAAGAGGCCTAACTGTTCGTGATGGGACGACCCGACGTGGGCACAGTCTTCTACCATTAAAATCACAACTCAGCCGTCCGCGATTATATTTCAGAAGTGTAACTTTAATTTGCATGGTGTGAGGATAGAATACGAAATTCCATTAATCGTTCGGCTGCAATAAACGACGTCCGCGGTCGCCGATTGTTTTACTAATTTCGCCTCGGTTACGTCTGTAATGCAGATCGTGAATTGGTGTACTTGCATATTTTATGCAAATAAAGAAAATTTGTGCATAACGTAACATAGCAACCGGTTGTATATTTTTAAACTTCGCATCTATGTTTTGTAAATAAAGTACTTTCTACTTATTCTTAGTTGCATATTATAATGCTTCTATATAAATATAATCGATAGATATAATAAGACTAGCTGTGACAGCGATATTTTCCGCGTAGAATAGTTTTTGGGCACCTAAATTTCTTTTTGCAAACCTCCTCATCTTTATAAATTATAGCCCACGACGACGCGGACGGTCGCGCTTCTTCTTGCAAAGATAGACGTATAAGTTCATATTGTAAGATTAATTATCTGTATATCGTAGATATTTTTTCAATCATTTAAAGAGAAATCAACCCCTTTTTATTTCTTAGTTTCTTAAACCGTTTTGAAGCACTCGTAACGAAAGACCTCAAAGATGAACACTATTCCCCGTTGTTTCTACATTTGCCATTGTTTCTTTGCTCTCATTCGTCGCAGTATAAATGATCTCACCAACACAAAAATAATTCTTCAACTCGAACCAGTAGTTACTGAAAGTAGCCCGTTCATACAAACAAACATACACTTTTATAATATTAGTATAGATTAATCGTAGCACTCAATGGACTAGTGATACCGTTACATAATTCGCCCGAGAAGTGCATCAGATGGAGGCTGATGTGTGATCAGAAAGATGGTGGTTCGTAGCGGGGCGGCGCGGGCTGCGGCGTTGCGCCTGCGACTCTCACCGCCTTATCTCTCGCGACCTCCGACGCGTCCGGACGCGCACGAAAGCCGCGCACAGCGACGCTCACACTCGCGCCGCAACGCGCTATGTCGCCCTTTATTCGACTTACTATTGTCGTAGAATATTTTAACTTGTTCTCGTTTAAAAGTGTGGGATGTAGCCCAGAAGTACAATAGTGATTTTGTTTCTCTTGTGATAAGTTGTCTTAAAGTAAAAAACTGTATAGCTTTTTATTAAATAAACTCGACGATGGTGTCCGAAGGGGCTCTGCCCGTAGTATGGTGTATGCGTGATAATCAACTAGTACCTCACCAGGTATCCGGTGTTAAATTACAAGGTGTTGTCACAGGAGCGCACATAGCCGCCGTTACGGACTTTTTACGTATGGTGGCCGGTACCCCTATTGTTTTACCTCATACAACATTTCCAGAAGACGTTGAAAATGACGTTAACGAAGAGAAGGAAAACACGACAAGACAACGGAAGATATCAATGCAAGTGGAAGTGCCTTGCGTTTTCCTATCTGAAAGTGCTTTGCAAAAGGCAAAGAGTCGCCACAATTCCTTAGAGGAAAAGGTAACTTTAAACAATCTTAGTACAAACAATACAAATTCTCAAAATACTAGGGACAGTGTCTTATCTCTTTTTAACACTAACAATAATAATTTATTATCAAACAAAGAAAATATGGAGGAGGATTGTTCAAATAAGACTTCTGTTGCACCCTGTCTAACAGAAAACATTACTCAGAGGATAACTAGAATAATAGATCTAGACAATTTAAATAACGAAGAAATGACCCATGACCCGGATAGAGAATGTCCCCAAAAAATAACGAGAATTATCGAATTTGAAGATAATCACTTACCGGTGTCTAATGATAGCGAAATCGAAACGCCCCAGAAAATTACTAGGATAATAGAATTCAATGATAATAATTTATTTTCTAATAGCCATGACGATGCTCTTAGTGACCAGAAAATATTAAAATCTAAATCGATAGATTCGGTGTTTCCTAGTATGGCTAAAATAATAGAGATAGAAAACGAAAAATCTAACGAGAGGCGAATCTCTTTAACGAGTGAACGCGAAATCGGATGTGGCCTTGATAACTGCAGCGAAGACGTCATAACAAAGTTTAGGCCACTGCAAAGGAGTAGGTTCAGTGTCGATTCCTCGTGCTCCGAAAACTCTTACGCTAATATCGAAACAATTAAGAGTTTACAGGATGATAGAAAAGAGGACATCTTAGAAATCATATCGAACGCCGACTCCCAGGCGAAACCCATTATCAAGTCGCGTTTTAGGAGAAAAAAATCGTCGGTTTGTTCAATCGGTTCGTCGGACTGCGATGATGAAGTAGATGTAATTTTTAAATCTAAGCCCAAATCTAGTCAGTGGGTAAGCCTCGATTGGATACCACCACACAAAGAGGAGCCAGTAAATACTCAAGTCTGTGATAAAAACGATTTCATATCAAAGTGGATTGCTGAGCAAAACTCCCATAGTACAGGGCTCATGGCAGACGAAAGGAGACGAAGTCTCCCCCCTAAATCGAACGAGATCTACTTGCAAACGATGAGAAGATTCAGCGACGGATTACAAATGTGCAAAGAAGACGCAGCAAGCGATTCACCGGCTACTGTTAAATGGAAGTGGCACGATTTAGTGAAACGCCATCTTCAACTGTTGAAGAACGATAAAGGATTCCGTAGACAAAGAGGTAGTTGGATGCGAACCGCTAGAAGACTGTCACATTCCAACATAAACAACAACAGCTTGGATGCCTTGCCCTTCGATACGTACATGAGGCTGAACGCTATGCCGTAAGTACTTTCTTTTATATCGCTTTTAATAAAACAAAGTTTTTCGTTAAATGCAACGAGCTACATCGGTCTACTTTGAGCGTGACTCGTACGGAACTGGTTATCTCTAACGCGGACGCGCGCGCAGCTTCGTGCTAATCAATTAGAATCTCAGCCGTCGTCCGTTAAAACTCTTTACTTAACATGCATTGACACATAAATGCATATGCCCCTGTTAATTGAATTATGGGCGTTCTGTTTGTTTAACTGTCGACCGAAAACCAGCTGAGTGAGCTGTGTTCTATTGAGGGGTATCCGGCGTTTATGTACCACTGATATAGAAGACGCCACCCCTTCGTATTGATAGTGTCGTTCATTTTAAAACGAAGTCAGGGGGGAGCGGCGGTGTACTGCCGATTCATGTTCAAAATAAATCTAAATAGCGTATTCCATAGGTTGTCGCTTTCTATCATACGAAGCCACGACCAAACTTGTTCTTATCGTTAATTAAAAAAGTAAAATACTGTCTGTAGTTCACGCAATTAAATAAAACACTTTAAAGGCTTAAAACGCGATTTGTATTAGTTAAAATTATTTTAACTACGTCCCGACGTTTCGGATACTTTGCAGCAGACTTCCCCGTAACCACGACTAGTTTAACCAATATATATCGCGTTTTAAACCGTAAATGTGTTTTATTTTAAAGTTTTTATGTTACGAGAGCTAGTCTTAAACACGCACTTCCGCAAGGCCGTCTGATTAGAATGCAGGGGGCACGCCACCAAGGCTACCTCTGTACGGCCGGTCGCTGCACCGGGTAACTTCTTCCTCTCCACTTTGCCGATTCGTTCGTTCGTAAGTCTACTCAGGAAATGAACCGTGAAGGTGACTACCGAAATCTATATCTGACCCATCGGAAGCGAATGTGATTCGAATTACACCATTGTTTGTTTAAACGTTTCCTTAACTCCTGTTTAGAATAATTAGATAGCGTTTCTGATGTTTTCCAGTCGCCTTGTGTAAGAGACAAACCGCGGGAGTGGTTATTGAGAGAACGCATACGGACGTGACGGTGTTAGATTCCCTTATCAGCTTTGAGGGCTGTCTACTTATCTTGCGCAATCTTATTTTTTGTATATCTCTTATACTGCCGCATGTTGGGGCCGCCTTCGTCTTTTTAGGACGTCTTTATGTCACGTTACATTTATTTAATAACAATTGCAGACAGTTAATAAAACACAGTTTAAAAAGCGAAATATATTCGCGTAGGATGTATGTTCTATAAAATGGGTACCATAAACAAAAGTTACAGTCAAAAGTTAATTTCAAATTTCTCGTATTTAATTATTTATAACAAAACACTGACTGTAGTTTACGCTAGTAGTACACATTTAAATAAAACACTATAACGCTTTAAAACGCGATATATATTCGTTAGACTTATTTGAAAACATATTTATAACTAAGAACAAATCTATCTATACGGGAGAATACGAATGCGATAAAAATACTAAATTAGACATTAAAAAACTTGTATACAATACCACATCTCGTGAAGTAATGTTTTTGTCAATTAGAATAATGTATACATATGTACAAAATAATAATGTAATTCTCAACAATTTTTTCAACTTTCACACATTATGGTTCCAAAAATCTAAATAGGAATTATTAAATAAATAAAATAAAATGCATTCATTTCCTTTATATGACTCCTGTGTACCTACTACCTACTAAAGCCGGTATTCTATGCTTATTCGTTTTCGTCTAGTGTGGGCCATATTTTCTCCTTCCTTGGAGGTAATTCCCTATCGCTAAACACAAATCTGTGCACATTTCACAGATAGATAAAATAAAATTACCTTTATCACAGAAATACTTTGATTAATTCGATTTGTCTGATTATGTCATCTGATAATTTCATAATCACCTCAGTGTTTCTGCTTCATCAGAGTCAAAGCCACGTACTTTTTAACGTCGACTTTCGAGAAGTCAATATCGATGTGAACGAGTGTATCGGAGTGTTATAGCGTTGGAATATCTCGGAGTTACTATGATACCGATTGATGTACTATTTCGTAATTCAATGACGATGTCTATAGTGATTTGTGATACAAATCATGGATACTTTGGTATTCGAAGCTGAAAGGAGACGCGCGTGGAATAAAAAGTAAATACGGCTCTCTTACATACTAGGTCCATACAAAAAACTAAATTAATAATATTGTGTTAGACCGCTAGCATTTCACTTTCACTGTATCGAGATATTATTTAATATTTGAGTACCCACTTGTGACGTCTTGCGCCGTTTTGTTGCCGTTTTTAGGGTTCCGTATTAAGAACTTCGCTGTTTGCCTGTCTGTATGTATTTCAGAAATTGCAATAGCCTAGACAGTTCCACAATATTACATATATTTTAATTCTCAACTAATTTCTGTCGCTACTATACAAGAAAATGCACTAGTTTATTCGAGTATAACACATTTGAATAAAACATTTTTAACGGTTTAAAACGTCGTGCCGTAGTTAAAGTAAATTGTAATACATTTCACGTTTTGATGCGTTATGATTATCATTTTTTTATATGCGTATTATATTCGAAATCAATACATTACGATTCTACTTGAAATAATTATAGATTGAATCTTACATGAAATTTGTCTAGTCAATGTTACAGAACCATTTGTGCGAGGTCGGCACGCACTTGGCCAATTTTTTCTGTGCCGAATCTTGGTCTTGCTTTCTAGGCGAGGTACTTTTATTTTCAAACTGTCGCCCCGTTACTAGCGCGGCTTGATTTATAAATATTGTAATTGTTTCATTGTTCGACACCACGTGTTAACAGCCCGCTGGGCTCTTATCACAACGGTCCGTGGAGATCGTCGTTCATAAGAACAATGCAACAGGTTTTATGATTTGTTTTCGCTTTTTGCCGCAGCCCGGCCGGCTTGTCCCACATACTCTTTTTCTTTATAAACGTTTCCTAACAAAGTTTTAAAATATGTTCAAAACAGTTTTTTTTATGATAGAGGAGGACAGATATGGCACGGGGGTTGTAGATTTTTCATTTGTATTGAAATTCTATATTCCTACCACTCATTTAATATCCAGATATCCCCTAGTGGGGATCGACGAAAGCCATACATTGCTACCATCAGCCCGTCAAAATTGTCTCAATTTCGCGCTGTCATTATATCACATGTACCGTAACAAACATTTGCGTAGTGTTATTTTTCACATGTTTTTACACGAATGTTGTTTTGGTTGAGTCAAGGTGACCATTATTTTGGTGATACATTAGTAAATAGTATCCAATGGAAGTTTAATTTTTTTTCGCTCATATAAATTTTTATATTGGATAGACCATTTATCGAGAAAAGTTTTAGGATATTTAACACGTTTCGGCCAATAGGAGCGAAGAAACAGTTAACAGGGAAAACTATTTATCTTTGGGGGCTTGCCTTGCGTGCACCGCGAAAACTGTTTATGAAACCAAAAAAAATAAATATATTTAAAAATGTTCGCTACATAGATGTCTGTCTACCTATTAAGATTACTTAGCAAGAGCCGTTTTTATGGTAATAAAACAAACCAACAAAAAATATTTTATTGTCACCATAATGTTACAAAATAAAACTTATTTTACAATTTCAAAATGTAGCGAGAAAAGGCGGCGGAAAAAATGTCCTAAAAGCGATTTCTTCCAGCAACTTGAAAATGGAGATCGGTAATCTAATTTGATCGAAATTAATGCATCATTACTAATTATTTGTTGGAGTTGTATAAACATTATCGTTTTCTAGATCCGCTAGTTTGGCACGCATAAAACCTGCGTACGCGCATAGGATTGACAAGGTAATGTCACTTTTGCTGAAGTTATTGCTGATTTTTTCTACGCGCATCATGGACATCGCAAATACAGGAACAAATGGCACTAAGACTTAACGACTCATTGTAGCCGCTAATGTTACCATTATACGATACATAATAAATGCTGACCATTACACATTATTTACTCTAATGTCGAGCGGCCTATTAATAAATCTGTGTCTTGCCAATTGAATAATCATTGATCCAAGCACAGTAGTTAAAGTAGATCTGAACATGATATTGGTACGTTAATGTGGACATTTTGACCATATTAATGTGTTGCGAATTGAGCTACCCGTGAACGCTGGGAATGATAAATAGATTTTTTGATTTGGAAATTCTATATGGGCTCGTGGCCAGTTAGCACGTAGCAAGCTAGTACGTATAGCTCAAAAACCCAAGAAGCTTAATATTGATTTATATTAAGCTTTATATATGTTAATTATATTTTATTTAATTGGTATACCTTACTAGACTATGTCGCCTCATAGGACCTAAAATTTACAAATTAACAAACATGGACAAAAACTGATTTATTTATATTCAAAAGTGTGAAAGCCCGTTTCCCCCTCGCGGGGGTTTCGCTGACCCGTTCTTTTAACGGGCAAGTACTCGATCAGACTTCTGTGCCCTGCCCAACCGAAACAATTTTATGTTTCCCTGGGATTCGAACCCAGGACCTCTCGCGCTTACCGCAATGCTAGCCAATACGTTTAACAATTTGGCTACAGAGGCGGTCTTATTTATATTTAATAAAAGTTATTGTTCAAGACAGAGTTACAATAGTTACAATTCTTTTGTAATACTCAACTATTTTCCTTTGAACGTGAAGGGGTATTAAAAAAACAATGCTCTTCAAATTAATATGCATGTTACAAACGCGATGGCAATGGATGTTGATGAAATTGACCGTATGTGTCACTGACTCCGTTACATACATTAAAATATATTTTGGCTGCGGGAAAAAAAAAAACATCTTTTGCACCGAGCTAATACTTAGCATAAGATAGAAGCAGCAATTTCCTTTTGCACTACAACTAATTTACGTATTTCAAATTACTGTATAATGACATTTCCATGGAAACCGCTCGGGGTAGGTAACTAATTTCTACCGGGAAAACCTCATTGAAAATTCTATGCCTGTGATATTCGTTCGATTGTTATCCTTATCTTTTATTTATGTGAATAAGTAACGGGCAGACGTCCGTATATTGTGCGATTTTACCGTTCGCTTTATTATTTTTAATGGGGTTTTTAGTCCACGAATCTCCTTTCATCTCACACTGCTCTAAAAATGATTTAAGGATACGGCGTGTCGGAGCACACATTTAAAAATTTTAAAATTACACCGTGACTGGCCTTTCTTGACCTTTAACTTGAAAATTAAATCCTTCGAATTATGTTGGATAATATATAATATCGTGTTGTATTTAAGAACTGTACAGACATCTGTGACCGTTTTTTTGTCATACAGACTACGTCTCAAGTAAAGGTTGTGGAAGGTTAATTTTAGGTGTAAAAAAAGCTTTGGTTATTCGGGTTTCTTTTGTTTTTACAATAGGTACATATAAATAAAACACTTTAACGGTTTAAAACGCGATATATTAGTTAAATATACACGATATATAAGTTTAACTAATATATCGCGTTTGAAACCGTTAAAGTGTTTTATTTAAATGTGTACTACTCGCGTAAACTACAGACAGTATTTAATAGGTACATAATACAACAATAACGTTAGCCTTGCGTGATAGGTGTGAAATAACTAAAAACGAATTCGATATTGAATTTGTTTCTAATCCACAATAATCAGTTATAACCTGTCAACGTACAGCAAAGTCACTATAATTAAACGACATTAAGTATAATTTAACTAATTTGTTGACATCAGAAACGTCGATTAATTTATAATCGCGTCCATTTTATGTTATTTTCACATGAGATGTTCTCTCCGAGGAAATTCGCTTTGACGGAGAAACACAATGGAAGCAAAACGAAGAAGGATCGTGTAATTAACGAGATAAATGCTTTGATACTATTTAAAAGAGGACGCAACGATTAACTCATTGTCTTATACACGTGGGCATCCGTACACTTGTAATTTTCCAACGCACCGTGGTTCGTGGTTCCATCATTATGTTTAATGACTTTTACTAGAATATCGCTTTAAAAATTATACTTGTAGGTATTTATATAATTTATGAAACGTTTCCGGAACTTTACATGTGATTACATTAACATATTGTAATAACTCTATGTGAAAAACTTCAGAAATAACATTAACACTTTAACGGTTTCAAAAGCGATATATGTATATGAGTTACACTTAGTTGAAACTACTAGATACTAGTCTCCCCGTGACCACGGACGCTGCAAAGCATCCGAAACGTCAGGCCGTAATTAAAATAAGTTTAACCAATATATATCGCGTTTTAAACCGTTATAGTGTTTTCTTTAAATGTCTACTCGCGTAAACCACAGACAGTGTTTGAAGCGTAATGTTTATAATATTAACATAAATCTACTCTTTATAATTCTCACGCGAAAGATGACCTCAATTTTTATCTCTAGATAAATAATTTGGAATGCAGTCCCCGATACTTTTACTTGATACAAGACCTCCGAGCAATAAAGGAAGTCATATTTGCTCAATACTGTTTGTACTTTCGAATGTATCCAATAGAATCTAGTTAAACAACGTGACCAAAGAAAGTCCTGCTTCCACACTGAATAATCTACACGAAATATTTTACATGTCATATTGGTACTTTAACATTTAATATTCGTTGTTTATAGTTCGGTTCAACGTTGGGCTCGTCTCTCTTATTGGAGATGGGGTTAAGTCATTCTGATCATTAGTGAAGTAACACTAAACCAACGCCTAATCGCTAATCTCTCATCAAGCCTTCCCTGGAATGTTGGAAAGCGATCGTTGAAAATGATCTTCCACGTAAAACAAGACTTGATAAACGTATGAATATAAATCTCAATTCTAGATGTCCTTATTGCGAATTAACTAGCAATCTGAAGTATCAAATAGACTGCGAACCAGTTGGAAGTAAATGTTTACCCCGTGAGTCACTTGCAAGAAAAATGCGTGGCGACATACCTCCTATAATAGAATGAATCAGTGGTAGAAGTTCACAGATGGTAGATTAGGGAAATGTAATTTGGGCATTTCATCTTTCATTGAGTAAACGCCAAAGTGGTCAGACAACTTTTCAGTCATAATTATGGGCTGGATTTATTTATCCTGAATTTAATATGAAGATGTAACAGTTTATAGAAATAACAATAACGATTAAGATAACAGATTTCTCCAGCATAGAAATGCGGGCCAAGGTCGCATCGTCTGGTCCGGCGGCGCTTGTAACATTCTATACTTTATTATCCGACGGGTTTAATAACCGCATTATATTGTAAACCGATTATAAATAGAAGCGAGTTAGTCCTAGGCGTTTGACGAGAGCAGGTTTGCTCTAACGAGGATTTGCGTTTGAAATTAAATTTAGAAATTTGAACTTTTGACCTTGCTTTGAACACTGAAAGTTTTGTGTTTTTCGTAATAGCGCTGTTTTACTGTCAACGTAGGTACAGTTATAAAACTGTTTTCAACCAATAATATAAATAATATAATAATTATAAGCTCCCCTCATTCTTCTGGGTGGACTGCAGTTGCGATTTAGATAGATGGTTAAAAACACCTCATAATATAAATAAAACTCTATAATTAATTCTACGCGTTAATGAGGATAGAACTCGCCGATCGATATTTATCAATTCAGTCTGCGTCCATCTTCGCCTTCGATCCAGTCAGCATCTCTGACCCTTACAACGCCCTTAGCACGTGAGAAGGCTGTAATAAAAGCCTAAGTCAATAGCGGGCGATTCCGCGGTGCATTTTTATGATTAGAGTAGCACTGATTCTAATAATTATCCTTTTAGATTTTATTATCTAAATCCGTCATTGAATTATAATGAGTTGGAGGTGGAGGAAAATGCTCAAAGTTGTGATACCTGATTTATTATTACTTAAAAATCCATATACAAAAGCCCAGATCCATTAGAAGAGCCCAACACGACAAACTTTTTTGGAGACAATTCGTATTTTTCTTAAATTTTAACGTGTATAAATTTCCGATGTTTTTGTTCAGTATTAAATTCCAATGTTCATAAATGTTTGCTCAATCAGGAAAGTGTACCATCAAATCCACTACATACTTTTAAATAAGGTACAAAAAAATGTCTACCACGGGAATTTCAGAGGCCGCCTTTGAACGCGTATACTCACTATACAACTTTGTATAAAAAACATTTTTGTGGTTTTCGTTTTTATTTTTTATTTCATTTTATGTTTTGTTAATTGTTTAATGTAATAATTTTCCACTAGTTCTACTTCAAACGTGAGGCATCACTGAAAATCGGCTTTGTGCCTACAAACAAAAGCTGAGTGGTGTCTCTCCACATACATCTTCTATTGTTTATGTCATTGTATGTTTGTGTGTGTTTATTCAATGATTGGATTTGATGATCGTGGGTTCAAGACACGCCCGTGTCATGATTCTTTCAATCATTTTATTTTCTACTTGGCAATCATGGAAAGAAATGAATTCTGTATCTAATTATTGTGTGACGTTGCCATCGCTTCGTAATCCGCTGAACAATTATAGCCCAGCCAATCAAGAGTTATCGTCAGGTAACCTTGCGATTGTAATTATAAGAATGGCTACTTCCTTCGACTAGCAAATTAACTCTATTTATACATTAAAATGCCGAATTGACAGTGTATTAAGCGTGACATCGCTATGTAGTTTTAAACCGCCTAAACTAAATGGTAAACTTGGGTTCTAATTTCGTGGAAACGCCGCTGTGTTCACAGATATCTAAACAAGTTTTTAAAAATGAAATTGTTTATTCTATAGTTTACACGAGTAGACATTTAAATAAAACACTAACGGCTTAAAACGCGATATATTATGTTAGTTAAACTTGTTTGACAATTATTGTAACTACGGCCCGAGGTTTCGAGTGCTTTGCAGCAAAATAATTTTCATATAAGTTTAACTAATATATATCGCGTTTTAAACCGTTAGTGTTTTTTTTATCCAAACAAACACACATGTCTGCCTTATGCACCACGTAAGGGAAACAGGATTACACTTGTTATGGAATAATTGGTGTGTTAGCTGTCACTGGACGTACAGCAAAAAATAATTAACTACTTCATCTATCCAGGTCTAATTAAAAGTATTCATGTAAACATAAAAATAAAATAATCATACAAAAACAGTTTATTAAAACATGCTTTATCGTCTTATTTTAATCTGTTTATTGTTGGATATTTTTTATGTTTTACGCTAACTGGTTAATAACTTTTAACGGTTTAAAACGTGTAAAATATTAAATACTGTCTGTTATTTACGCGCGAAGTAAACATTTAAATTAAGGTTAAAATCGCGATATATATGAGTTAATCTTCTTTCAAAATTATCTTAACTGCGGCCCGACGTTTCGGGTGACCACCAAATAGCGTTTTAAACCGTTACACTGTTGTACTTAAAAGGTATTTTAACAAAAGTTAATTCGTTAAATACGACCCGACGTTTTTTATTTTTACTGCCACGATATGATTGCATATGAGCGATTTCACAGCTCGTCTGCGATTTCGAGCGAATGTCTGCCATTGTGTTGTTGACAACTGGAATTTTGCAACAGCGCTACTGAGAAACACAACATCGGCTTAAGCCGTGAATAATGGCGCGATGTGAGTTTAAAACGTCAACAGATTAATAAATTCTTTTATTTTTCTTAATTTGATATTATACTTTATTGCTTAATCAAAGAAATAATTTATTTTGTATACTATATCATCGTCCCGTTGGCGTGTTGGTAACAATGTACGTCTATTACTCAGCGGGTCGTGGGTCCGATTCCCAACGAGTTTATCATTTTTCTAATCAACTTATAATTTTTCTGAAATACGATGGACTTCGTCTGGAAATCTGGACAGTAAATGGGTGGTAGGAATATCCAAAGCCAAAAATACGTCGACGGCCTCCTCTATAATAGAAAAATTCGATGCACATTCGAACACAAGTCGTTAACAATGGGCAAATCTGTTACTATTTTACTCAATTCCTAAATTATGTCCGTACTTTTGTTACAGGACTTTTTTACTTTTGTTATTACTATATTGCATACTGTTGTAGTTCTATACTAACCGTTTATAATCGGGATAGGTGCTGCTAAAAATTCTGCCTAGACATGTTTTGTCACATCCTTTAAAATTTCACGTTAAAATCCGTTAAAACAATGAGTGAGGATTCGCGACACGAGTACGCCAATTGAATGTCAAGTATCATTCATTCGTCGCTGTTGAGTCACCTACCTATGCGGTTAGGACTGCTTTGCTAAACTCTTGCATTTATTTCATACTTTGAAAATTTTCAAATGTCTATGACCTTTAAAAGAAATACAACATGTTACAGAAAACGAATGATGACTTGTAGATAATTAAAATTAACAAGTCAATTGCTATGCAGTTAAGCATACAATTTATAGGATTATTGATTTTACCAATTTACCAGCTGATTAGTTTAAATGTTGACTGTAGTTTACCCAAGTAGAACATATTTTTTAATATCGCATTAATCCATTTTATGTAATGAAAATTATAATTATTTTTTGTTTAATTTAATTAAAATAAAATACTGAAATATTTTAATTGACTTATTACAATTTTAACTACAGCCCCGATGTGTCGGATGCTTAGCGGTTCTATTACGGATATTACAAGGGCTAATTTCTCTTTTTTTTTTCTTCCAGATGGTATTTCCGAAAAATAAAACGAATCGAGGCGGAGAAGAAATTACTCCTGCCCGAAAATGAGCACGGTGCATTTTTGATTCGCGATTCGGAGAGCCGGCACAACGATTTCTCTCTGTCCGGTAAGTTGCTTCTTCTACATGTTACAAGTACAAGTATTATTTTCATATTTCGTAATAATAAGAGTGAACGTTTCTTGGCAATTGTAGGTACTTTTCTTCTTCTTCTTCTTGCTTGTAGGTACTTTTCATTTATTTTATGATCCCAGTTTTTGAAATGCTAGTAAATGTCAATCTTTCTTTAGCGAGTAAGTGTCTTATGTTTTTAACTTATACTAGCCTATGTACTTCTTCAATTTATGTGATTTACAGTCAAAAAGATAATATTTTTATTTAAAAAATCTAGGGAAAATGCAATTAATTAATTATTTATTACTGTCTTTACTGAACTTTTTGTATAAAAATCCATATAGTCTAATACTGTCTGTAGTTACGCGAGTATTACACATTTAAATAAAACGCTTTACAGCCGATAAAGGCGATGCAAAGCATCCGAAACATCGGGCTGTAGTTAAGATAATTTGTAAATAAGTTTAACGAATACTTTTCCCGTTTTACCTTTAACAGTGTTTCATCAATCAATTTGGTTTGTTTAGTTGGTTATGCCACCGGGTATAATAGATAAACGGAAGTCCTTGAAGCTAACTTCAGTCTATATATCTATATTCTACGCTACGCAGTCAGCTGACCTGATGCAAATATGCCTTTCAGATGAAAGTAGTTCAGTGGAAAGAGATGTAAAATGTACACAATACGTGACTGAAACCGACTGCAATAGGCTTACGGAGGCATCGCTCTTCCACCACGAAGATATTATCCCGATAGGGAACCGGTTTAACTTTTTCTAAGTTGCCTTGCGCCGTGGGAACGAGCATATGTTACCGGGCGTTAGCAAGACTCGTGACTAACGTGTAATTAATTTTTGAAATCATTAGTCACAGTGTTCATTTATCATTGTTTTATTGAGGACTAGATTGCACCAGTTATTCCTGCTTGTCATCACTCATATTATACCTTAGCAGCTAGTAATGTGTTAGTTTTAAATAAGCAATTGCTTTAATGGATGTTCATACTTTCCATTATTTGAATTTAGTAATTGTGTACTGTCTATAGTTTACGCGAGTAGTATACATTTTAATAATTTCATTTAAATTGTGTTCACTGAATATACTTATAAGCCACGAAATAAGAAAGAGCCTTTTTAGGTTGCCTTATACAAAAATCAGACACGACATATACAAGTATGTACATATTTTGGAAGGCTGTATGGCTCCATTGAGTTTTCATTGGTTTCCTTAGCCCAAAAACGGTGTTAGTTTCAAAGTGCAAAACATTCATTCGCTGTGTATGGATTTTTCAATGGTACATCTTCAATGGTTAATAATAGTCTTTAGGTTTACGTGAATAGTTAATATTTACTTAAATAAACGACGTCTGTTGCAAAGCATATAAAACGTCTAGCTATTATAAATTATTATAACATTTTTCGTTTTAAACGGTTAAAAGTTTTCAAATCTTCAACCGTTACTAACGTTGAATCATAATGGAATCCTACATATAGTTCAATGGCTCCCGGCTGGCTGTTGAGACGAAATAAATTATATTGCCGCAACACACTATAATTGCAGACCACGTCGCGTCGGTGTTCGTTCGATTACCTCATATTTCTAAAATCAAAAGTTATAAAAAAATATCAATTAATTTATATTTCAATGCACGTTTTTTTTTAATTTTTTTTTAAATTTTTTTTTTCCCCCCCTTTCCCCTTAGGTTTAATAAAAAAAAAATATTTTTTTTTTTTTTTTTTTTTGGGGTTTTTTTCCTTTTTGGTGTTGCCGGGGGGGGGGGGGTTCCCCCGCCCCCCCCCCCGCTTTTTTTTTTTTTTTATGTAAATAGCTTTTATTTATATGTCTTCTATATACATCAGCTCTGAAATAGATATTTTTCGATTCATCGCGTACTGTCTTTTGTTTGTAATAAGCACGATTAAAAATCGGTTTTGTTTAAAAAAACTTTTTTACAAGGGCACCCCTAATGACATCCACAATCCGTGCTTGCTCTAAAATGGACGTTTTCTAACTCATTTTTCTTGTCATGCGTCTCTTGCGCATTATACGTTATACATCATGTGAAAAATATTATAGTTTTTAAGACACGATTTTTTAATTTCACCCTTTACGAGTTTTTTCGTATTAGGTGGAAATTTCTCGTTCATCGCGTACTAATGACTCACGTGAAAATGAGAAGTTGTCCTTGACGTTATTACTGATCTCGGGCTTACCGCGAAAACTACTTTTGTTCTCTGCATCGCTTGCCTGACCTTAACATTCATGCATCACAAGCGTGTTGCACACATTTGAATCTGTACTATAGTTTGGTCAGGCGAACGTACACTTATGGTACATATCTATGCAGGTTCGCTTTTTAACTGTTTAAGACTTGGATCATTTAAATAACGACCGCATTGTTTGGGATTTGATTTAACTTAGCTTGTTCGCTGCTTTTTATCGTGTTTGTCTTTCATTATTAATCCTTTAAATATAAATGTTTGTTTTAACTTACTAATTTATCTGTGAAATGTTTTTTTTTAACGCACCCTTATATCATGTATTTTTTCATCTCTTTCATATCTTGCAGTAAAATTGTATTCTTTTGGTGTTCTCTTATTTTCTTAAATAAATTAATAAATAGAAAACTTCCTGTAATTGTGACGTAATTACATCTTGTTTTGATTATCATAAGCAAAAAAAAATGCATTTAAAACACAGTTAAGTTATTAAACGAGATTATTATGATTTCCCATCTGAATGTTTGTCGAAGAATACTTCTCTTATCACTTGACTGTTTTTGCATTGCATTATAATACACTTGAGTGCAAGCAAATAACTTTTTGTAAATTAATTTCTATAAGCAGATAATCAGCTATATTTATTGTAACCGACGTCAAAGCTCAGTGGCGTTAAACGCTAATTTACCGGTGTTAATGACCCGTAAATCAGACAACGTTTGCGTAACAGCCATAAAATATTCTATTATTACCCACTACAATGGTTTTAGATGGGAGCATAAACTTGGACACTTTCTCAATAATTAAGGAAAGTGAAATTTGTAATTATTAAGTTTTGTATCCGTCATAAATTATATCGGCTCATTGGTGGTCTTAATTACACGTTTACTTTGATGTCATTTTTGGCAGTCTAGGTTTGATTTTATTGTTCAGCTTTTTCCCGATACAAAAAGGCAAAATGGTACATTTAATGATTTTATTTTTTCGTGTCCTGTGTGATATCCTTACTAATATTATAAATGCGAAAGTAACTCTGTCTGTCTGTTACTCTTTCACGCCAAAACTACTGAACGGATTTGAATGAAATATGGTACACATATGGTCTAGAGAGAACCCTGAGAAAGGACTAGACCTGAGGAGGTTACTTTTTATTGCGAAAAAGGGGTTGTAGGGGGTTAAAGTTTGTATGGAAATTGTATTGGAAATTTGAAGCTAGAACAATGAAAATTTATTCTTTGACTTTTTGGGAATAGGATTGGGAGTGGGAGTTAGAGTAAGAGTGATGTGAGGTGAGAGTGTTGCGGCAAAGTTACAACATAGATTGGCTGCGATAAATGCGCAATTATATAAATTAATAATTAAACATTCTACCCCAAATCTTTATTCCACGCGAACGAAGTCGCGGGCACAGCTAGTTTTCTAAAGTAAAACCTTTATGGTAGCTAATAATCTCTAACATATTATAATTGCTGCGATGTTTTGAAGTGCTTATTGGTGTAACTGTAGCAATGTATGGCTGATGTGATGAGTGATGGTATGACCTCGTCAGGAAATCTGGATATTAAATGGGGGGTAAGAATATCGAAATTCCGTCCGGGTTACAAACCACAGATGAAACAATCGCGTTCTGTGTCCGCCTATTAATATCCGAATATGCAAAGGCCGAAATAGGTCGACATCGCATCTGGTTTAGATGATATATGGCTGGGTTATTTCACCTACCATAAAGTCCTTTGGCTAAAAAACCTTTGACCGATATCGTCTGACTCCATAAATACCAAATTTTACTATTCCCCCCGCCTAACTGGAAATTCGAGATCCGTAATGTAGTGTTCCAATTACTAGACTTAACGTTAATGTTAAACACAGACAGCAATGAGCCAGAGATCTAAGTGTATATATATTTTTAAATTATTTTTACCACTCTATGGCATTGCGTTACAATTAAATATATTATCCATAGTAATAAGTTGGCGATTTTTCCTTGAAAACGTATTGCGAAATATCTTAGAAGCTGCCATTGCACAATACAATATGTCACTATCTAACAATATCGCCGTAATCACATATTATTAAAATAAAATGTACATTTTTAACGCATTTGTGTTAATGTTGACATTGAATTCTAAATTGTATCCATACAAATTTCGTAAGGCATTTTTCGTACATTTACTATATACCTTGTTATTTTTCTACGCTTTTATTTAAATAACCTTTAAAATACCAACAAAACAAAACAAAGGGTTCTAATTAACTGCAACCTCTTTCGAGTAATTTACACGTCTGTCAGTCGAATTTGGATGTGCTGTTCGCCGAAACGTTTGGTACGAGAATTTGTTTCTGATCCAAAATCTTTCATCTTAAACTTATATTTAAACGGTACCTATATCTTAACTGGAAGCAATGTCGACCTATTTTGGCTATATTCGGAAATCCACAGACTGAAACCGAAACGCGATTAAACTCGACGGCTCTTTCATCTGTGGGTAGTTCGCAACGGACGGAATTTCGATATTCCTATTAATTTCCAGGTTTCCAGAAATCCAACACGTTTCAGAAAAATGTTTAGAAATAGTTGAACTCGGTGGGGATGGAACTCACGCGCGTTGATTATTACCCATACATTGCTACCATACCGCCAATGATCTCGTCATATGCCTCTTTAATTTTAGTCTCTAAAATAACATCATTGCGTTTATCCTGATGAGTCACGTAACGTAGCTTTACGGAAACTCAACATCGTACTCTTATATTGAAGATTTAAATTTCTCTTTTTTTACAGTCCGTGACGGCGACACGGTGAAGCACTACCGCATCAGGCAACTTGATGAAGGTGGCTTCTTCATCGCGCGACGCACCACCTTCAGGACCCTGCAGGAACTCGTCGAGCATTACAGCAAGGATGCTGACGGCCTCTGTGTGTCGCTGAGCAAACCCTGTGTACAGGTTAGTTAATGACTATTTCGATAGTTCCACTATTTATCAAACGCAAGACTTAACTTTAAGCTTGCGCTTGCGCAAGAGGTGCAAGTTGAAAAAAATCATTGATGTAGGACACGGTAGCTCCTGTGGGTGCCGGTTCAAGTCCTGCCCGTGTCGTAAATTTTTATCAATCTAAAATTGATTTTTAATTTAAAACAGCTTTAACCACTCTTAATACATTTTGTATTACGTGTTAGATAGCTGACGGGCTGGTCTATCATATACACACATAGTTTGTTTAAAATAATTCTAAATAAAAATATGTTTACTTAGAGTGGCTAAGTAAGAGAATGTGAGAAAAGTTATACATCGTTACTGAAAGAAAAGACCATTTGAATTAAGAATTGCTGAAATTTTATTGTTGAAAACATTATCCATTTGATGTGTTGTTTAATTGCGTTCTACGTCAACTCTACTCTGCCACCTTTTTATTATGTATAGACACATGTAGTTACCTGATAATATAAATTGAACAAGAATAAATTAAACAAAACTATTTTTAAATTGCGTTGTTCAAATTATTATATACAAGAATTTGCAATTTGATCGAACAAAACAACATTCTCAGTTTATTTCAATCGACAATTAAAATTGTGTTAAAACTTACGTAATCATAGAATAGAACACGTGTGTGCTCCTTTAAAATGTAAACTTAACTAATTTAGTAATGTTTTCCCCTGGTATGCTTATGCATATTATATGGCAAATTTTTTGGTGTGGTTACTTGTCGTGAACTATAAAACATAAAAAAAAACTCGAAATATATTAGTACTTTTCGCAATAAATATATTTTTTAAATCTTACCTGTGTTTATAACACGATATACCAATGGCCGAATAATTGAATAAATAAATATATAAATTACAATAACAGAGTTGATTAAAGAAAAGCTTGTACGGTTTATTACTTTTTATTTGGAGTCGAAGTAATGTGTTACAAAGATTAATATGCATGGACTCTATTAGCCTACAATACGTTATAAACATAGTGTACCTCTTGTGTTCGTTAATGACCTAGTTGTTAAAAAACGACCTTAATTTAAAAATGTTGGACCTAAAATGAATCACACAAGATAATTATTAATTTTTATGAAACTGGACAATTATCACTCTGTTTATTTCTCGATATTAAGAATTTAATTTGAATTTAACTAAATATCAATAAAAATAAAGATTTAAGGATGTATACTCGAAAACGAAACAAGACGACAAATCTATATTAATATGTAAAGCTGAAGAGTTGCTTTGTTTGAACGCGCTAATCTCGGGAACTACTGGTGGGAATTAAAAAAATATTTTTGCGTTAGTTAGAGCATTTATCGAGGAGGGGGCTATCACATCAGCGAAAGGAGAGAAGGTGCAACGGGAAATGTGTAAAAAACGTGTAGATGGAGAAACTATCTATCTTTGTGGATTTCTGGTGCGCGCGCTATGAAAACGGTTCAAGATACCCAAAAAAAACACTATGGCTATTATTTAAGATAAAATTGCAAGAACGACGGGACGCGACCGTCGCGGGTAACAGCTACGGCTTATAAAGATGAAGGGGAGGTTGGCAAAAACACTTTGATGCCCAAAATAACAATCCTACGCGGACAACGTCGCCGACACAGCCAGCTCTTTGATAACAGCCACGGCATTGAAAATTCTCTACTTTTAATATTAGTTTTATAATCGTCTGTAGCGCAATAAATTCTAAATTCAAATATGCTTGCATGTGCACTAACACGTGACTATTTAATACGCCCTATTTATAATGTATACATAATATATGAGCAGCGATTGATTCAGCTTTTGAAAAATATCACATAAGTCCGGAGTTTCCAATGTTATGCAACTTTAGATTATGGACATTCTTGACCGGCGCCAAGGTTGTGACGACCCCGCTTTCGTTAGTCCGCCCATTTGGACTCACTATTTCGATATATACGCGAAACAGACATTTTTAGAACGAAATGTGTTACGTCACAGATGACAGACCGAGCCTGTTGTAACATATTTAACGGGTGTTATATCATCCATTTGGACAAATACTTTGTCTCTTGTTAACTCGAGTAGTACAGATAAAACTCTTTTAAAGTTCAGTGAAACAGTCTCCCCGTGATCACGGACTCTGCAAGGTATCCGACACGTCGGGCCGGAATTAAAATGATTCATAGATGAGTCATACTAAAACATTTCGCGTTTTTTTTTCCGATAAAAGTATTTTTGTATATTATTACAAAATAATATATATAGTAACAAAATATTTGTTACTGATTATGTAATGTTACTAAACAGACTTACGAGACAATCCAGAAGAGGCTCACGATTGTTTTAAAAGTTAGACTTTTTATGTTTTATTGAAAAACAATTATTACGTTAATTTAAATGTTGCACTTTTACGCGTTTCATGAATTTCTACAATTGCCATATGCGGTATATATATATATATATATATATATATAAAACAAATGTTTAAAATAATTACTTCTTCTGACGGTAAAATGAAATTTCATTGTAAATTACTCATCGAATGATATGCAAATTACTTATACGACGGATATTGTATACTCAGGCTACAGATATACGGTTAATTATTACTAGATGTATACATTTAAATAAAACATTTTTAACCGTATATAATGCGAAACATATTAGTTAATTTAACCCCTTGAAACATCGGGCCATACTTAAAATAAATATTAATAAGTTATTTAATACATGTAGCGTTTTGAACCGTTAAAAGTGTTCTATTTAAATGTGAACTACTCGCTTTTACAGACAATACTCAATGAAAGGATTATTCATTTTACAAGTTAATTTTTCACGTAATGTTTAAACTATACACTTTGATAGCATCATTTAAATAGCTTTACAGAGAATTTTTACTTAGAGAAAGGTTATTCTTTAAATTCACCGTGCCAATTTCGCTTGCAACTATAGGCCGTAGATATAACAGTAAAATAAGGGAGTAGAAATAAAACGACCCACCTCCTGTGTCTCACGGTTACTGAACCCTTTCAATCGTCGAGACAGTCTCGCCTTCGTCTTTTGACCCGAGATCGACTTAAACTTCGTTGATACATAAGTTACCACTGTTTCATCGTAGACCAACAAAAACTTGCGTATACGATACGACTCAGTATGAGTGCATTTTTTAACTGTTGTAACGCGAAGTACATATATCTTAGCTTTCTAGATTCTTAGCTTAGTTGTAACGAGGTTTCGGATATTTTTTCACCAGACGCCGTGGTCACAGAAGACTGAGTATGGTGGGCATTATTACGCGTTTTAAACCGTTAAAATTGTTTTATTTAAATATCGTAATATTAATATTTTATGTCGGTGAGTGCATTCATTTAATAAAAACTCATATAGCCATTACTCATCGTGATAAGCAGAGGTTCTTTTAATTTTTTTTTTGTTTGAGTCATAACAATTATTTATTCAAACCAGGAGTTCTTGTGAAAGGTTATTGAAATAGTTACGATTTTATTTAATTGATGACTCTTTAAAAACGCGATGTGGTCCGAAAGAATAATGCGAGTAATTATCTGTATTGTTCAAAATAATAAATCAATCTTGACATTAATTTTATACCACATTTGTGTTTGGTTAAGTGTCCGTTGTTATATTTTTGTCCGACGACAAAGAAACTTCCTTTACAGCCTTTTAAGGGGTCATATTATTGGTATGCATTTTAATTTTTGAATTTGGAACTCGTTTTTTAAACTAAAATCTAATCTTCTAACTGAAATATTGAAAAAACGTCCTACACGATTTTTTTGTGCAAAAAAGTAAAACATACCATGTTTTGAACCACCTAAGACTGACAAAGAAACTATTAAGAGATCTAATCAGGAGAGATACTTTGGACATGATTTTAGATAATAGACTTACGAAGAAAGCTCATATTGACCATATAAGATCAAAGATATACCCGCTGATTAGGTTTGGTCAAAAAAATATCCAAATGTATTCCCCATAAGGCTAAATATCTTATAATTATAATGCTCTAGTCAAACCGTATGTAGACTATCTTATTCCAGTGTGGGGATGTGCAGCACCAACTTAAAACCTATAGTAACATGTCAATCAAAAATCATAAAGTCTTTGTTTAATTCTAAAACACTAACTTCTACTAAAAAGGTGTATGTAAACACAAAATTATTTAACATTTCTTAACTATTTACCTATCATACGCATTTACATTCATAAAATTATCACACATAGCACACACAGTCAAACAACTTTTACGAAAAACCGTACAAAGTAGAAATAAAAACGACTTGTCACTACCCCAACCCCGAACTAATTACGGTAAAAATAGTTTAAGATTTAAGGGTGCTGATCTGTACAATAAGTTACCTGAAAGTATAAAAAACGCCCAGTCTATAAACATCTTCAAGAAATCATTAAAGTTCCATATTTTAGAATAAGAATAAGTTAATAATAAGCTTTTTTTTATTACATTTCACTGTTTCGTTTAATTAAAGTACCGATGCATGTAAACACATCTAAGTTTAAGTATAATGTTTCCATTAAGGAATATGTATATTCTAAGAGAAAATAAATTCTTTAAACCTTAAACAATATGGTACAAATCCCGAATTCCATATAATTTTAATATGTTCAAACATCGTTATGGACGCATAAAAAAGATTAAACAACCCAAGCAGACTTCCTTGAAGGCCCATTAAAGGTTTGTTTTTTGTTAAGCCGCGAAACAAAGTGTTTCTTAATTCCTCAATGGCATTTCGGCTCTATCAATAAGTAACTGGTCCTAAGATGTACTCGAAACGAACTCGCTAGACTGCTTAAAATGGTTTTATTTTCGCTTAATACGTAAATCAAGTCGCATTTTGAAAGTTGCAAGACCAGACAAGAGCTAATGATGTACAATTAATGTTTAATTATCATACATCATTTACGACTTTGCTCTAAGCAAGTAACTTTAATTGAGAGTTTATACAGATGTTTATT